AAGAGTTACTAGAGGGGCGCATGGGTGGCTCAGTGGGTTAAAGCCTCTGCCTTCGGCTCAGGTCATGATCCCAGGGTCCTGGAATGGAGCCCTGCTTCAGGCTCTCTGCTCGGCAGGAAGCCTGCTTCCTCCCCCGCCAGTCACCCTCCCACCCCGCCACCCCCGCCTCTCTGCCTACTTGTGACCTCTGTCTGTTAAATAAATAAATAAAATCTTTAAAATAAATTAAATAAATAAATCAGATATTTTTAAAAAGTTACTAGAATCTTCAATGAGTTTATTAGGATCTCCAGTTCTGAAAACTACCTGCAGCATTGCAAAGACAATATCCACATTTAGGAATAGCAATTAAATGTAAAGATTGTCACATTCAATGAAAAAACACGATTTTCACATGATGCTTCAGATGAGCCAATTATTAACAAAGACGATTTTAAAATAGATTTTTTTTCCTGTAATGCATAAACCGATGTTCTGAGTTAGGTACAAATCATAAATCCACTTTCGTTTTTTTGTACCACCTCCATGAGTCATAGGAACTGTCAGAGGAAACATTAAACTGACATTGTATACATTTCCATTTAAAAAAATTAAGTTTAGGGGCACCTGGGTGGCTCAGCGGGTTAAACCTGTCTTTGGCTCAGGTCCTGGGTCCTGGGTTTCAGGGTCCTGGGATTGAGACCCACATCAGGCTCTCCGCTCAGTAGGGAGCCTCTTCCTGTTCTCTAGCTACCTGATCTCTGCCTACTTGTGATCTCTCTGTCAAATAAGTAAATAAAATCTTAAAAAAAAAATAAATTAAATTAAGTTTAGGCCTCACTGTCTGATTTGCATTACGACCTAAATCTTTAAAAATAAAAATTGTCCCCGGGGTGTCTGGGTGGCCCAGTCAGTTGAGCATCTCAGTCCTGATCTCCTCTCAGGTCTTGGTATCAGGGTCCTGACTTCAAGCCCCAGTTCAGGCTCCACCATTGGTGTGGAGCCTACTTAAAAAAAAAAAAAAAAAAAAAAAAAAATTCATGAAAATTATCAGTAATGAATGTGCTAAAATTTATATTTTGAAATAATTTACCAGAATTGGCCCAAATTTGCCATGGCCTATAAAATAGTCTTCAAAACTACAGTAACAGTTGCATCATCAGAAAAGTCGTTATCACAAATTATTTGTGATAGCACAATTGCCAAATGATATTCAATTATACTATTTGAAAGTGAAATATAGGCGTGCCTGTTTGGCTCAGTCAGTGAAGCATGCCACTCTTGATTCCGGGGATGTCAGCTCGAGCCACACATTGGGTGTAGAGATAACTTAAAAATAAAATCTTTAGGGGTGCTTGGTGGCTTAGTCGTTAAGCATTTGTCTTCTGTTCAGGTCCTGATCCCAGGGTCCTGGGATCAAGCCCTGCATCAGGCTCCCTGCTCTCCAGGAAGACTGTTTCTCCCTCCCCTACTCCCCCTGCTTGTGTTCCCTCTCTCTCTGTGTCTCTCTCTGTCAAATAAGTATATAGAATCTTAAAAAAATTTTTTTTAAATTAAATCTTTAAAAAGAAAATGAAGTTTTAAGAAGTACGCATTTTGGGGGGGGAGCATAAATTTTGGTGACATAATGAATGAATTTGCAGAAAAGTCAGCCTGAAAAGTCTTACGATCTATTAAGATATCCATTAATTAGGTCTTATTGTGTTCTTAAAATTAAGACACTACAATCTTTTTTTTTTGCAATTTTAAGTTTGTTTTTACTCATGTATCACTGTTATTCCTATTCTATTTTATATGTCATAAAGTATTTTTAAAGGAAAAAGCTTTATATTTCAACACTCAATGGCACTTTCTTTCCTGCCCTTCCAACAAGAAACTGCACTTGGGTTTTGCAGTGTGTTCTCCAAATTATGTAACCGGGCCTTCTGAGATCACCACCCTTTTCAGAATGGTGTTGCTTCTGCTTCCACATTTAACTGGAGATTTAAAATCTCTGGCAGGTGTGTCTGTTGGCAGAGCCTAGGTCTGAACCCTTGCCCTTGTCCATGAGACTGGGTGGCTGGTATAGATATGTATTTGGATGCTGTAATGGGAGGGGACTCTGTCTCATAACCTGAAGGATTATGGACCCAGGTAGGAGGTTCAGATACTAAGCAGCCAAAAAGAAAACGATGACTATCTACTACAAGGGGGTACCCTAAGACTGAAGTAGGAATAGTTGCTACACAGGACCCCATGGATTAGAAACCCTCTGAGTTAGGGGCCCTGGCTGGCTCAGTTGGTAGAATGTGCAACTTTTACTTATTGTTATTATTATTATTATTATTATTTTAAATAATCTCTACAGCCAACATGGAGCTCAAACTCACAACCCCCAGATCAAGATTTACACACTGCACTGACTGGACAGAGCCAGTTAGACTCAGCATGTAACTCTTTTTTTTTTTTTTTTTTTAAGATTTTATTTATTTGTTTGACAGAGAGAGAGAGATCACAAGCAGGCAGGCAGAGAGGGGGAAGCAGGCTCCCTGTCAAGCAGAGAGCCCGATGCCGGGCTGGATCCCAGGACCCTGAGATCATGATCTGAGCCAAAGGCAGAGGCTTAACCCACTGAGCCACCCAGGCGCCCCACCACATAACTCTCGATCTTAGGGTTGTGAGTTCAAGACCCATGTTGGGTGTAAAAATAGTATCTCAATAATATCTCAAAAAAATGCTCTGAGTTAAAAACAGATGGATTTAATAGTGATGTTATTATTGACTTAAACTTGAATTCTGAATACAGGTGTCAGTTGACTAAGCAGCTTTGTAACATTGGCTACCTAATGAACACATGGCTGTGAGTGAATGCCAGAATTATTGAATAGAGACCCAGTCAGAAGGCTTGAAGCTTGGAAAGTAGCGTGTCCAGTGCCTGAATGATGATTATGCAATCGGGTGTAAGGAATGAAATTGGCCAGATATTATGTGTTTTTCAGCCTGAGGAAACTGATTCTCAATTACAGTGTGATTCTGTGTTCAGGGAGTGGTGGACATTTAGGTCTTGTATTGAACAGGGACTCACAAAGGGATAGGAGCCTAAAAAGATGCTACAGAAGATGAGTGTAGGAAAGAGATTTACCAAAGATTTTGCATTTAAATTAACTTTTGGTTATCATGGCTTGCTCCAATTCCGGTCAACCTGTAGGATTTGACCTTCTAACGAATAACCGTGAAAGAACTAACCAGAAAATCCAAGTAAATATAAAAATGATGCATTTGCCTGGTGTCCCTTTGGTGACCCCATAGTAAGTTAGCCTTTGTTTTTTTGCTGTGATTTGTCATTATTTTATTGAGATAAGAGATTTTTTTTTTAAAGATTTTATTTACTTATTTGACAGAGAGATCACAAGTAGGCAGAGAGAAAGAGAGAGAGAGGAGGAAGCAGGCTCTCTGCCAAGCAGAGAGCCCGATGCGGGACTCGATCCCAGGACCCTGAGATCATGACCTGAGCCAAAGGCAGAGGCTTAACCCACTGAGCCATCCAGGCGCCCGAGATGATAAGAGATTTAACCATCCAAAGGAGTAAATATTCAGACATGGTAGTTGCAGTGAGGTTAATGGTGGACCACCAGAAGATATGTCCCTGTCCTAACTTCTGGAAACTGAAACTGTGACCTTATTTGGAAAAAGAGTCTTTGCAGCTGTAATTAAGGATCTTGAGATGTGTTCATCCTGGATTATCTTGGGTGGACCCTAAGTCCAGTTGAATAGTGTCTTATAAGAGACAGAAGACACAGAAGCCCGTGTGAAGACAAGGCAGAGGATGTGTGGGCTCTGTTGGTTAAGCGTCTGCCTTTGGTTTGGATCATGATCTCAGGGTTCTGGGATTGCGCCCTGCATCGAGCTCTCTGCTAAGGGGGCAGTCTGCTTCTCCCTCTCCCTCTCCCTCTGCTCTTCCTTGCCCCACTCACACTCTCTCTTTCTCTCAAATAAATTAAAAAAAAAAAAAAAAAAAAAAGACAAGGCAGAGATGGGAGTATGCAGCCACAGCCAGGAATTACTAGAGCCAACCGAAGCTGGAAGAGGCAAGAAAAGATCTTTCCCCTACACCCTTCGGGAGGTGTCAAGGTGCGGACACCTTGATTTCAGAATTCCAGCCGACAGAACTCTGAGAGAAGACATTTATGTTGTTTTAGGCCACCCAGTTTGTGGGACTTTGTTTCTTTGTTTCTTTCTTTCTTTCTTTCTTTTTTTTTTTTTTAAGATTTATTGATTTACTTATTTGAGAGAGAGAGAGATCACAAGTAGGCAGAGAAGCAGGCAGAGAGAGAGGAAAACAGGTTCTCCGACTCGGGGCTTGATCCCAGGATCCTGAGACCAGGACCCGAGCAGAAGGCAGAGGCCCAACCCACTGAGCCACCCAGGCGCCCCTTTGTGGGACTTTGTTAAAGCAGCGTGGGAAACTAACACGATAGTCTCCAATGGTTAGTAAAGCTGAATGGACTTCAATGTCCGCTATGTCCTTAGAGGAAGATTTATTACTCTTAATAAATTACATAAAGATTTATTTATGAAAGTGGTGTTTCAACTGCATCATCCAAAACTGTCCCATGGCTCCTTGATCTTGCCACCAACATTGTCTAATGCCACGGCCACCTCCCCTTTCCATTTTTAATTTTTTTCCTGAACAGCTGGTCTGAATAGGGCATACATAGGTAATACCCAGGGTGGCTTATTAGTAAGACAACTACCTAATTTAGTATTCCAACATCTGAAAACATAAATGTAATGAAGGATGATTTTTACCCAAATGAACGTCAGGAAGGTCATTATCACAGTGATTGTGGGGTGAAGTGATCTACATTATTTCCTCCACGTATTGCTTCTCTGTATTACCAGAGCACGACCCAGGCTTGGGAACACCTTATTAAGAGAGGAAAATACTCTTTCTCCTAAAGTTACAAACCACATTTTTCTTGGTATTCTCCTTTTGACTTAAAAAGTTTATACTTAAGAATCGTTGTGCGCAGTTCGGGGATTCCGCCCAGGACTTGGACCGAAACTTAAAACACCCCACTCTCCCGCCAGCCAAACGGCACGGCTCCCTGCTTCCAGCTGGACAGCTGTGTCTCTCAAAAGTCTTCTTCTAAAGCGGCTTCAAGAGGCGCGGGCCTACGGCGCGTTGAACCCCGGAAGTGACGTCTCCCAGAGGGGCCGGAAGTGGCAGTGGAGGGAGGGAAGATGGCGGAGGTGGGGGAGATAATCAAGGGCTGCCGCCTGCCCGTGCTTCGGCGGAACCAGGACAACGAAGATGAGTGGCCCCTGGCCGAGATCTTGAGCGTGAAGGACATCAGTGGCCGCAAGCTTTTCTACGTCCATTATATTGACTTCAACAAACGCCTGGATGAATGGGTGACCCACGAGCGGCTGGACCTAAAGAAGATTCAGTTCCCCAAGAAAGAGGCCAAGACCCCCACCAAGAACGGACTTCCTGGGTCTCGCCCCGGCTCTCCAGAGAGAGAGGTGAAACGGAAGGTGGAGGTGGTTTCACCAGCAACTCCAGTGCCCAGCGAGACAGCTCCAGCATCGGTTTTTCCCCAGAATGGATCAGCCCGTAGGGCAGTGGCAGCTCAGCCAGGACGGAAGCGAAAATCAAATTGCTTGGGCACTGACGAGGACTCCCAGGACAGCTCAGATGGAATACAGTCAGCGCCACGCATGACTGGAAGCTTGGTGTCGGACCGGAGCCACGACGACATTGTCACCCGGATGAAGAACATCGAGTGCATCGAGCTGGGCCGGCACCGCCTGAAGCCTTGGTACTTTTCCCCGTACCCGCAGGAGCTCACCACGTTGCCCGTCCTCTACCTCTGCGAGTTCTGCCTCAAATACGGCCGCAGCCTCAAGTGTCTGCAGCGTCACTTGACCAAGTGTGACCTGCGACATCCTCCGGGCAACGAGATTTACCGCAAGGGCACCATCTCTTTCTTTGAGATTGACGGCCGTAAGAACAAGATATACTCCCAGAACCTATGTCTCTTGGCCAAGTGTTTCCTCGACCACAAGACGTTGTATTATGACACAGACCCCTTCCTCTTCTACGTCATGACAGAGTATGACTGCAAGGGCTTCCACATCGTGGGCTACTTCTCCAAGGAAAAGGAATCCACGGAGGACTACAACGTGGCCTGCATCCTGACCCTGCCTCCCTACCAGCGCCGGGGCTATGGCAAGCTGCTCATCGAGTTCAGCTATGAACTCTCTAAAGTGGAAGGGAAAACGGGGACTCCTGAGAAGCCCCTCTCAGACCTTGGCCTCTTATCTTCACTCCCAAGGACTGGAGCAAGAGGGGAAAGTGGTGACCGGACACTGGCCACAGCAGTGGCGACAAAGGAGAACTGGGGCTGATGGCACATCCCACCCCTACCGGGGCCCCCCCAGAGGCACACCAAGGGAGGTGGCGCTGAAGACAGCGCCATAAGGAGAGGACAGGCCTGGTAGGGGCTGCTGGTGCCTAGCACCAGGGTAAGCTCAGGGCTCAGATCAGCTCCAAGGTCAGCCGGCTGCAGGTCTGGGCCTGCTGTGAACCAGAGACTGGACAGAGCCAGGCAGCTGTGTACAGTGGGATGGGGGGGGTGGGGGAGTGGGTGCACTCTGTACAGGGGGCCAGTGGCTGTAAAAATTTCTTTTGTAAAGTAGGAGTTGGGTGGGGAGGGGTCTGGCTGCAAAATTCTGGCCGCTTTTGCCCTCACTGCCCCTTGGCAATAAACTGTTTCTATGGGTCCCCCCCAAAAAAAAAAAAAAAAAAAAGTTTATACTTAAGCAATCAGAGGCACCTGGGTGGCTCAGTCATTAAGCATCTGCCTTCGGCTCAGGTCATGATCCCAGGGTTCTGGGATGGAGCCCTGCATTGGCTCCCTGCTCAGCGGGAAGCCTGCTTCTCCCTCTCCCATTCCCTCTGCTTGTGTTCCCTCTCTCCGTGTGTCTCTCTCTATCAAATAAATAAATAAAATCTTTAAAAACAAGCAAACAAAAAAACCCACTTTTCAACTGTCGGTGATATATTCTATATCTTTTGACAGCTTTAGGAAGCTCTTGCATAACATGTTTAGTGACTTAAAATTTGCTCCCATGACTTCATGTTTAAGCTCTTTTTTCTGTAGCTCTTTTTTCCAACTTGTTTTCTGTTAAATGCGTAGACATCTCTCATTCTCGGCGGTGTAATGGATCAGGATTATCAGAAAGGATAGCCTCCAAACTAACACAACAGTTCAAAACTTGTTTCAGAATATCCTCCTACAATTTTATTTTTATTATTTTTTTTAATTTTGTATTTTTTTTCCTCCTACACTTCTAGAAGAGCCTCTGCCCACAGGCACACAAAACATAAAAGGGCTCCTGGATGGCTCAGGTGGTTGAGCATTCTGCTCTTGGTTTGGTCTCAAGTGGTGAGCTCGGGGTTGTGCGACTGAGGGGTCGTCGGACTCCGCACTCAAGCGGGGAGTCTGCGGGAGATTCTTTCTCTCCCTCTGCCCCTCCCCCATGTGTGCACACAACATACTCTCTCTCTAAAGTGAGTAAATAGATCCTAAAAAAAAAAAAAGAAAAACCCAAAACACAGGCAGTTTACAATGAGACATACACCTGTCCCAAGCAGTGGGTGCTGCATGTGTGAATTGAGGAGAGCACTTCCTCTCGAGGCAAATGTGCTTGGGAAACCAAACTATAATCCAAAGGTGGCTTGGGAGCATTGAATGAAGAGATGGGTATGCTGATCTTGCTGTCTGGGGTGTTCAAAGAAATCATACCTTCAAAGAAAATTTAATTCTTCTCTTTATTATTGCCCTTATATAAACATGCATGTGCACAAAGAGAGCATTTATGGTGAGACATTGGAAAAAACTGCATATCCCTCGTATGGGAATGGGCAAATAAACAGGCATGTCCATCCCAATGTACAAGGCAGCGGTTAGGAAGAATGATGAAGATCTGTGTTTACGGATTAAAAACCAAAAAACTGTATTTTATTTATTTATTTATTAGAGACAGAGAGAGAGTGAGCAGGTAGGGAGGGGCAGAGGGAGAGGGACAGAGAGAAAGAATCTTTTTTTTTTTTTTAAAGATTTTATTTATTTGATTTATTTGACAGAGATCACAAGTAGGCAGAGAGGCAGGAAGAGAGAGAGGGAAGCAGGCTCCCTGCTGAGCAGAGAGCCGCAGAGAGCCCGATGCGGGGCTCGATCCCAGGACCCTGAGATCATGACCTGAGCCAAAAGCAGAGGCTTTAACCCACTGAGCCACCCAGGCACCCCTGAGAGAAAGAATCTTAAGCAGCCTCCACGTTCAGCTCAAAGCCTGACATAGGACTTGGATCTCAGGACCCTGAGATCATGACTGGTACTGAAATGAAGAGCTGGACGCTTAACCAACTGAGCCACCCAGGTGCTCCGAAAAAGCATATTTCAGATTCATGGTTATTTAGTCCTTGGATTTACAGTCTTCCAACCTCAGAGCTTTAAGAATTATCTTTATGTGGAAAAATCTTACATCTCAGCTTGGACCTCTTTCCCAAACCTAGATCGTACCCAACATCTCCACTGGGAGGTCACTGGGAAGTCAAAGAGACACATCAAACTTAACTCATACAAAAGCAAACTCGTGATCCTCCTGCCTCTCCCGCTCTACCTGATGACCTCCCTGTCTCAGTTAGGGCCACTCCAATCTCCAGCTGCTCAGACAAAGACAAAGAGCCTAGGTGTCTTCCTTCACCCTGTCTTTTACTTTGCATTACATGCATCAGCAGATGCTGTGGTCTCAACCTTACACAAATGTCTGGAATCCGAGCAATCCCCACCACCTCTGTGGCTCCTCTGTAGATCCAAACCTCTGTTGTCTCTCTGTGGCTGTCCAATTGTTTCCTAAGTGGGCTCCTTCTCTGCCCTTGCCCTCCTCTTCCCAAGCACTGTCTGTTCTCTACGCAACAGTGGCACTGATCCTTTCAAAATCTGAGACAGATGATGTATGACACTCATCTGTTTAAAACCTGTGGAGTAAACAGAGACCAACCAAATGAGAAAAGCAAAGGCTATTGATTTAGAATTTGCTGGACAGGGGAGTCAGCCACCATCACTGGCATATTGGCAGAAACTCAGAAGCAGACAGGAACGTGGGGAAGCTTTATTTTGAAAAAAGGAAGGAAGGCTGCAGGTGTGCCCTGATTGGAGGCTGGGGATGGGAGAATAGGGGTGGGCATTCTGTGTGATTGGTTAGGGGAGCATAGATGGCCTTCTCTGGTTGGTCCTAAGTTGGAAGTTCAGACAAAAGTCAGGGAAGCTGGTAGTTATTAATCAAGTCCTGGCCATTTGGGGCCAATTGTTACTAAAGTTATTATTTAGTTTCCTGGATTATTATTAGAGATAGCAGTCTAGCTTCCTACAAGTCTGGCTTATAGCAGAATTTAAAAATTTAAATTTGATTAATTAACATATAATGTATTATTGATTTCAGAGGTAGAGGTTGGTGATTCATCAGTCTTGTATAATACCCAGTGCTCATTACATCATGTGTCCTCCTTAACATATATGACCCAGTTAGCCCATACCCCCACCCCCATCCCCTCTAGCAACCCTCAGTTTGTTTCCTGTGATTAAGAGTCTCTTATGATAAATAAAATCTTTAAAAAAAAAAAAAAAAGAGTCTCTTATGGTTTGTCTCCCTCTCTAGTTTCATCTTGTTTATTTTTTCCTCTCTCCCCTATGATCCTCTGTTTCATTTCTTAAATTCCACATATCAGTGAGAACACATGGTAATTGTCTTTTCCTGATTGACTTATTTCACTCAGAGTAATACCTTTAGTTCTATTTGTCATTGCAAAAAAAGTTATCTTTTCTGATGGTGGGTTATTATTAAGTACTTGGTCCAAAAAATATTGAATTTATGGCCAAATTTTCAAAGTTGTGCTCTCATTATTGGTTATGTATTCTATTCCTAGCTGATATATTAACAGATCAAGTAGAGAGTCATATTGGCCTTTAGGAAAGATCTGAGGAATAACGGGTTTGGGCCCAAAAGAGGAAGTGCAACAAAATAGAAATTCTTTTTATTCTGAACCATACAGTTTATGCTTACATGTTAATGTTACTTAGAATGTCTTGGCTTTGATGATCATTGGTTATCCTCTACTTTATAGTCAATTAAAACCACAAACAATGTGGTTTTTATTGGGCAAGAAACAAAGACAACTACCTTTGCCTTTATTTCCAACTCTAAAGGCCACTGTTGGGGTGCCTGGGTGGCTAAGTGGGTTGGCCTCTGCCTTTGGTTTGGGTCATGGTCTCGGCGTCCTGGGATCGAACCTCGAATGGGGCTCTCTGCTCAGCGGGGAGTCTGATTCCCCCTCTCTCTCTGCCTGCCTCTCTGCCTACTGTTATGCCCCCCCCCAAAATGGGCCCATGATTAAAGGAGCGAGACTGATACAAAGCGAAGGTCAAGCAAAGGTTTATTCCACGCCAAGCATCAAGGATCTAACCGAACGTTCAGGGACGCACCTCTTACAAGAGAGGGCCACTCTTCCCTGTTTCACAGACTAGCTTTTAAGGGCAAAGGCCATGCGGTTGGGCCTGGCCATGCACAGGTGACCAATGAAACTGTAACACACAGAGAAAGCTGCATAGTCATGCTAGATGACCAATTGAATTACAATTTACCCTAGTAGACATTTGAACCAGCCTATCACCTTGGTCAGAGTTGGCGCCCAAAAGGTGCCCAAAGGGCGGGGCCCATATTCCTTGGTAACTAGGGAGACAGTATGCATCCCCCACTGATCTGATCCCTCCACCTGGCCTGACCCACCCTTGTGTTTGAGCTTTGTTACCTGGGGCTGGTTTCCGGGACTTGTTTTTAAGTAAGTCCCCTGGGGGAAGGGGAGCAGGGATAGTTTAAGGGTTAAACAACGTTGTTTTAACCTTGATGGAAGCCTCTGGCTAAATAGGTCCTTACACCTACTTGTGATCTCTGTCAAATAAATAAATAAAATATTAAAAAAAAAAAAGGGGTGCCTGGGTGGCTAAGTGGGTTAAGCCTCTGCCTTCGGCATGGGGTTCTCCACTCAGCAGGGAGCCTGCTTCTTCCTCGCTTTCTGCCTGCCTCTCTGCCTACTTGTGATCTCTGTCTGTCGAATAAATAAATAAAATCTTAAAAAAAAAAAAAGGCCACTGTTCCTTAATTTAGCCAAATGACCAGACATGAAATTATTGCATTTTAGACTAAGAAATGCCAGTCCTAAAATCCTTTATTTTAAGTAAAAATGGGCTTTGGAAGGATGCCGTATGGTGCTTTTAGATCTGTCTACTATTTTATGGAATACTTGTGTTTTTTTTTATTTTTTTAAGATTTTATTTATTTATTTG